GGGCTTGCGTGCTGCTCAGATGGTGGACTCCACCCACCCCCCGGGTTGGACAGGCGTCAGTATGCAGGGTCTCCGAGTGGGAACAGACCTGCTGACCCCTAACAACACTAAAAAGAAGGGCATTGTTTGCTAATGTGCCTAAAAAGAAGGGCATTGTTTGCTAATGTGCCACGCTGGTGAGAGGGAACGGGCTGGAGCGGGAAGACAATTTGCCCACAGCTTCTCAAAATTAAAAAAAAAAAGTCACCTGTGATCTAGCAGGGAGCTCTGGTGGTGTAGTGGCTAAGGCACTTGACTGCTAACCAGAAGGCTGGCAGTTCAAACCCACCAGCCACTCCTCGGAAGGAAGGTTGGGCAATCTACTTCCGTAGAGATACCACTTCGGAAACCCAAGGAGTCCCTATGAGTTGGTCCGACTTGACGGCAGTATGTTTTTAGTACGTGATCCAGCAATTCCACCTAGCGATTCCCACAGGATTCCATTGTCCGGATTTTCAGTCTTCCGTTGTTATCGGCACTGCTGCCCCGAGCATTCTTGGTGCACAGCATGTCTAATCCCCAATGCCCATCAGCAGGGGCCAAGATAAAGCACGGGACATCTGTCCACGGAGCACCATGAGGCTGCACACCGCAGAGCAGAGGTGCTCTGTCTGTGCAGATAGGGAAACGTTTTCAAAACACTCTGCTCAGTGAAAAAAACCCAAGGTGCAGACTGAAGTACATAGTAGCTAACCATTTGTCCTCCCCCAGCACCCTGAAAATGTGTCTGCAGAGGGAGTTGGTGGTTGAAGGAGGGACGAGGCAGGAGTGGACTTACTGTCACTGTAAACAAACTCTTTCTCTGTTCTTGAGCTTTACATCAGCAAAAAACCAAACACACTGCTGTTGAGTCAGATCTGACTCATAGCGACCCCTCCTTGAGTTTCGGAGGAGGTTTACTACAGACGCAGATTGCCCAACCTTCCTTCTGAGGAGTGGCTGGTGGGTTTGAACCTCCAGCCTTCTGGTTAGCAGTCAAGTACCTTAGGCACTACACCACCAGAGCTCGTTCAGGTGCTTAAATTATTTCTCCCCCAAGTTCATGTTTAAAAGGAAGATGCTAAACTCTGTTAAAATGGTTGCAGGTGCTTGCCTTCTGAATCAAGTAGGACAGGGGACGTCTGAGGTTTTAGGTGACATGACTTTCACCTCCAAGCAACGAGAAAAGTCCCTGCTCCTCCCATTTCAGGACTCAAAAAAACTCACACTCGCTGCCATCGAGTCGAATCCAACTCATGTTGTTGTTGTTTGGTGCTGTTGAGTCATCTCCGACTCACAGTGACCCTGTCACAGGAGAACGAAACACCACCCAGTCCCACGCCAGCTCCGTGAGACTTGCTATACTTGAGCCCATCACCGCTGCCACCGTGTCAATCCATCTTGTTGAGGGCCTTCCCCTCCTTTGTCAACCCTCCACCTTACCAAGCATGACATCCTTCTCCAGGGAATGGTCCCTCCTGACAACATGACCAAAGTAAGTGAGATGAAGTCTGGCCATTCTCGCCTCCAAGGACCATTCTGGCTGTACTTCCTCCAGAACAGACCTGTTAGTTCTTTTAGCAGTCCACGGTACTTTCAGCATTCTTTGCCAACACCACAGCTCAAAAGCATCAGTTCTTCTTTGGTCTTCCTTA